CAGCCTGTTGTGACATGTTCTGTAGAGCCCTTTGAAGAAGTTTCTAATGGGCGTGGATGTGCACTGCGAAAGGCGCCTTAGAGAAACTACTACATTGCGGAGTTTTGCTAAGTCTTTATTCCACCAGGGTTTTGATGGTCTGTTGTCTTTCTTTTTTCTTTTCATGGATATGTCGCAGGCCTCTTGAAGGATTTTGGTAAGAATATGCACCACATCATCTATGTCCTGGTGTGTTGATGCGGCATGGAGACGTGAGACTGCATGTTGCAGAGAGGAGCCAAGGAATGCAGTGAAGGCGCTTTCCACACACGTCGATTCAGCCCAGGAAGTATTTTGCGCTGGGGATATTGTATCTTGGATTGTAGTGAGGATCGGTAGATGGTCTGTGAATGCCATTTCAGGGAGGCATGTTCTAGTTGCTCGGGCGGCTAGGGAACTGGAGGCCAAGGTTACATCGATGGAGGAAGACTGGTGTCCGTTGCTCCAAGTGTATTGCACAGGAGCTCCCAGAAAGTGTAAGTTTGTGAGCATAGAAGATGCTTACAGACTAGCGCCTCGAGCATCACGGACCGCACCGATACCCCAGGTAGGGGAGTGGGCGTTGGCGTCCATGCCTAAAACACTTGGTATGGCACATGTGGTAATGATGGATTCGAGGGTCGGAAGAAAGTCATATTCTGTTGTATCATGGTGCCAGTAGGCTGAACAAACTAAGAGGGCTTGTTTGCCAAGCCAGATCATCGCAGCAGTGATGTTTGGGTCGGAGGAATCAACCTGTACAGGATGAAGGCTGGCGCGAATAACTAATCCCGAGGGGATGTAGTTACCAGGTGGAGCAAACGTTAAAAATGTGCTATTGGGCCATCTGAAGTTTCGGGGGAGTTCCTGGAGCAGGATTACGTCTGCTTGTGTTTTGATTGCCATTTGGGAAAGTTCCAGAACAGCATCTGGTGACTTTCTGAGATTGGCCTGTAGAACTTTGAGGGGTTTAATCATATTTTCTAATCTTGGATATTTGTGCCTTAACCAAGGGACATGCGCGGGATGTGGCTTGGTGGGTTAGTGCTTCAGATGAGATTCCTGCCTTTTTGGAGCATTTATGACATTTCAGTGTGTTGCTTGGGCATTCATGTCCCTCGTGTCCTGTTGTACCACATTTGTAGCATATGGGGTTGGCGGCTTGGCAGGTCGATGCGCGGTGGTTGAAACCGCAGCATCTGTAACACTGCTTCAGAGAATAGCTTTTCTCATAACGGTGTATTAAGCTTGCGATGGGGATCTTACCACGTTGTTGCAGAGTCTTGGCGGCGTCATCGTCCACTTCGACGAATACTGTGGTGTAACCTTTTGGATTGGGTTTGGGTCGATGTGCAATTTTGAAGTGTCTTTTCCCTGGTAGATTCTTGAATGATGGGTTGTTTTCCAAACTTTTAAGGATTTCTTCATTTTTGGTGCTGTCTTCTACCCCAAAGATACAGTATCTGGGGTGGATCGTTGGACGTTCCTGACAAGACAGTTCAGATGGCATTGCATTTTTCAGCTTGGATGCTAGCTCAGCGGCGACGTGTTTGTTTTTAGTGTGGATGACCAGCTTCCCTTTACCTTTCACTGAAGCAGCTACCTCGTTTGAGGCAAAGAGAGAAGGGTTTTTTGACTTTACTTCGCGGAGGATTTCTCGAGATTCCTTAGTAGGGTTTATGGATTTAATTACGACATGGGATTCAAAGTCTCTTGCCAGGTTGTTATAGGTTGGTTTAAGCTTCGAGGAGACAGGCGCTGGGGGTTTGGTCATGTCTGCTGTTTCAGCATATGAGGGTCTGGATGGTGTCTCTGCCATTGGCTTGGGGCGAGACTGTGCGAGGTTGATACCAGTGTAGGCATCCTGGAGAGCCAGCTCAGCGCAGGTCAGAGCGGTGTGAAGAGTTTTTATGAGGCTTCTGCGTAGATCTTCATTTAATTTAGCCTTGGTAGCGAGCGTATTTATTTGATTCACGCCGGTGTTGAAGGCGCAAGAGATTTGACCGAACTTGAAATCGAGATGTTTAGGGTCAGAGTCCATCTCGGAGCGATAACGTTTCACGCCTGATGGCTTGTTAATTGACATCATATCTTCTTTTTTATTTATAAATTATGGGTAATTAGTAATCAAAGTAATTAATTAGTAATCAAGTTATCAAAATGATTTTTTTGATAATATATCTATGAAATTTATTGAAAACTAGCGGACGTACCCGGCTTCGCCCGGGTTTTACCCGAGTAAAAGTTTGTCTAACGAATCTCTCGATAAAGTGAACATTTTTTTCCCGGTCCCTTGAAAAATACTCGATAAGTTGAATAAAATCAATATTAATTGGTTCCCTCGGTAATTGGAAGTTAAAGGAATAGTATCTTGCCTTGGAATTGTATCATTATTCTTGTATGGATGTACCCGGCTTCGCCCGGGTTTTACCTGAGTAAAGGTTTGTTTAACGAATCTCTCGATAAAGTGAACATTTTTTCCCGGTCCCTTGAAAAATACTCGATAAGTTGAATAAAATCAATATTATTTGGTTCCCTCGGTAATTGGAAGTTAAAGGAATAGTATCTTGCCTTTGAATTGTATCATTATTCTTGTCTCAAATAAATTGCCGTGTCATCCTGAATTTTGTCTTTCCTAATTTTCTACATTACAAAATCATCGTATCATCATGATAATATTTAGAGCAGATTGTTGAATTATAACAGATAAATTAGAATATTTATCTTGATTATTTCTAGGCGAAAAGTTATTTCAAAAATTTTATTTGCTAGAAACCTTCCCAGTACTATACTAAATAACTTCCCAAAGTTTCATGGCGATCCAATGAGTGGTTTGGTCAGGCATAAAGGACAAACAAACAGACACACACACACACACATACATTCATTTATATATATATAGATTAAAATAATCTGTTATTTTAAAATATATATTTATTTTTAAAATAAAGTTTTCAATTTTAAAATGTTTTTCTTTTTTTTTTTATATAATTGATGATGCGCTCGCATCCGTGACAGCGATGAGGAATTGAGGAAAGACGGTCGTGACTATATATTAACGAATGACCCGGGCAACGCTCGTGTTTTACCCGATTGAATGTTTTTATTCAAATACTATTTGTTACAATTATAAATTGGAGCCGTGGATGTCACTCTTGTGAAACGTCCCGCTCCAAACTTTACATGTACATTAGGTCAGCTATTATTACCCCTCATTTTCACCGCTATAGGCGCGAGCGAATTGACTTTTTGTAAATATACATAATTATAAAGATAGAAGCTTCTATAGAAGATAGTGATCATAATGATGATGCGCGCGCATCCGTGACAGCGATGAGGAATTGAGGAAAGACGGTCGTGACTATATAGGTTGATATATTCAGGTTAATTATAATGTGAATATAATAAATATATATTATTAAATTAAGAATACATCGCATATCTATAGCATATTTGAAATATTTTTAAAGGGAATTTCTTTGTTAGAATTAAAATCCATGCTACAAATTACAATATTTAAACTAGATTTTATTTCTAATTAGAAATGTATTGAAAGCAAAATATTTAATCGTAAAGATAGAAGCTGCCTGGCTGACATTCATAGTTCTTAAAATTAAAGATACTTCAGCCAGTAAATCTTTTTATTATCTCGACATTTCGAAGAAAATATTTTGTCCTCGTCAGGAGGGAACAAAAATAAAAGCATTTGGCAAGGCGTTAAAAATATTATTCTAAGGTTGAAAAATAAAAATTAAATGTTTTAACTTTTGTTCGCTCCTAACAAGGACAAACTATTTTTTTTTATCAAAACGTCGAGATAATAAAAAGATATATTGGTCGAAGTATCTTTAATTTTAAGAACTATGTTTAATACAGTTGGTCTATATATAGTTGTATTGATACAGTTTAAAATATTATTTATTTATCTCTAATTGATATTATTTTTTTTATTATTTAATAAAAAAACTTATTAAGTAAAGGTACGAATACTGTGGGAATATGAACTAGATTTGAAATTAGGTATTTCTTGAGAGGTAAACTAATAATAACATAAAAGTTGATTAAATTAAGAAAAATCATTTCCTGATCGCGAAACTAAAAGTTTATAATAGATAGCGCCATCTGTAGAAATAAATATAAACTAATCGTTGATTTTTTAATTATTACAGAATTGACCAAATTTGCTTTCTTGGGTAATCAAGAAAAGCTAACCACGTACGTATTTCAGGTTGTTGGATCTCATCATGGATCTATTACATGGGGCATACTGAAAAACCATGCCTATTATTTGTTAAAGATTACTATTGTCGGTTGAAAATGGCTGGTTGAAGAAGGTTTGTTTGTTTGAAGATGGATTTACATATTTAAAAAATTTGAAAATAGAGCAATACATAAATAAATCCTTAATTAAAAAGATATATATTGGATCAAAATATAATTTATTTTTTCAATATTTCAGTTGGCTGAACGTCAACGTTTATCAAGGTATTATGTGGCGCTGAGTTTGTTGTTGACACACATCAATATGTTTTGATACCTTGATAAAGGTTGGCGTTCAGCCAACTGAAATATTGGTAAAATAAATGATATTTTGATCCAGTATATATCTTTTTAATTAAATATTCGATAATGATATATTTTTGCTTTTGGAATTTAAAACAAATAAACAAGTAACTGTTACTGTTATATAATACATATTTCGATAGAGATCATTTGCTTATTTTGATATATGAGTATTAAATTGTTTTTTGACGCAAATCATTTCAAAAAGAAATACAATAAAATCAATTTTGATCAATATTCGCTTTAATTGAGCTGGAAGAAATATAAGTAAAACTGATTAATTAACAATAAGGATTTGAGAAAGAAGTACCTGACTTGACGTGTTAGGAATAAATAAAATGAAATACTTACTATATTTTTGTGAAATAAATAAAGCTTCCAGGGCTGAATTTCTTGTATATCGTTTTATTTTCAGGCTTACGGACTTGTCAGTCATTCAACAGGATTTAGCGAAGTACACTTCAGCTTTGGTCGCCGACTGGGAATTTTTTTTTCTAGCTTTAAAAAAAAAAATTTTTAGAATTTCCTCCTTACTGGACGCGAGTGACACAACTCAAGTTGATGAAGTAATTAATTTACTAAAAGACGAAGTGTTTCACTCGTGTCTACAAACCATTCCCTCTAAACCTGCCGCCAATATTTTTTTTTAAGAAACCCACTTGGTGGAAACCTGAACTAAATCCGCTCCAAAAGGCTACTCAAAAAGCTGAACGGGCGTGGAGAAAAGCTCGTGGGCCTGTTAGAAGCGTGTTAAAGATATTTTATAAGAAATTATATAATAGATTTCGCACCTCTATCAGACACGCGAAGTTTGCTGAATGGAGAAAGATCTGTTCGCTTTGCGAGGTTAGCCCCTGGGGCGGCGTTTATAAATTTATCAAAGGTTCCACCAAGAGGAAGCCTCTTACCTCTCTCCTGGTTGGCGACGATCTCACTGACAGTCCGCGGGACACTCTAGAAAACGTTTTAAAGCACTACTTCGGCCGCGCGTCCCGCCCGATACATCAGTAGAGCTTGTTAACTTACATAAAGCCGTGCAGTCCACCTCTGATAACGACCCACCGTTCTCAGAAACAGAACTGCTACTGGCTGCGGATAAGTTTAGCCTTACTTCTGCTCCCGGCAGTGATGGTATGCCACCTCTTGCCATTGTTAAATTAATTAAAAAAATTTCCGACGTTCTTTTTAAAGATCTTTAATAGGTGCTTCGAAACTGGACATTTTCCAACCCCTTGGAAACTGGGTGATGTAATACTCATTCCCAAAAAAGGTGGTGAGGACTTTATCGCGTCTCATCGGCCCATCACGATGCTGCCTGGCTTGGGTAAAATTCTAGAGCGTCTTATCCTGGCCAGGCTCTCGTGGCGAGCTGAGAGGATGTGTAAAGCCCAGCCAAACCAGTTCGGTTTCAGGCCCTGCAGATCTACTGTCGCCGCACTTCTAAATTTTAAAAAAATAATCTCTCCCGGTCGCTTCAACATAGAAAATCTTCTATTCTTCTTTCCTTTGATGTGAAAGGCGCTTTTGACAATGTGCTACACTCCAGCATATTGCGAGCTCTGTGTATGAATGATTGTCCTCAAAACCTGTTTGTCCTGATTTGCTCCTTCCTTAATAACCGTGTTGTCAGACTGTCTATGAATGGTTGCACGGTCACGAGGCAGGTTTCCAAAGGCTCCCCGCAGGGCTCAGTTCTTGGGCCGTTTCTTTGGAACCTTGCCTTTAAAAAATGTGTACACCCGCAGGCCTATGCCGACGATCTTGTTATGGTGGTGTCGGGCCAAGTTACTCAGCAACTTGGAGCGGCGCAACTTGCCATTAACGAGATCACGAGGTGGTGTGGCCTGCATAAACTGGAACTCAGCGTGAGGAAGTGTCAGGCCATGCTCCTTCTAAGACGTACTGGCAGGCTACTAAAACCTAGCTGCGATCTAACCATTAATGGTCAACCCATTCAATGGAGCGACTCAATCAAAGTGCTGGGAGTAAGGTTTGATCGGCGTCTCACCTTTCACCAGCATGTGGTTGAGGTTTGCACCAGAGTCCGCGGATTTCTCCCGCGTTTGACAGAAGCCGCCAACTCCAATTTTGGCTTTGGTTTCCGTGCCCTGAGGATGCTCTATCTACAGGTCGTGGTCCCAGCCATCTCTTACGCTTCTCCTGTGTGGTTTCCTAATCTTAAACAACGCTCCTTAAATACTCTCTTAAGCGCGCAGCGCCCGTTCCTCATCAGGATTTGCCTTACGTTTAAAAATACTCCCAATAGCTCTCTTATCTCTCTTTCACGTGTTCTTCCTCTCGATCTGGATGTCGGCGCCAAGGCGGAATTGTATTTTAAAAAGCACAGTTTTGTTGACGCTGATTTTCCAGTCGAGCCTCCCCGCTGCCCTCACCCGCTTCCCTATCCTCCCTATTACTCCGCTCCGATTAATATTCCTGATCTTTCGGCTGACGTCACCTACTACACAGATGGTTCCAAGACGAAAACTGGAGTTGGCACAGGCCTATATAGAGTGTGTGCGAATGGCTCCATGAATGAACTGCGTGAAAGCTTTGTCCTGTCCCCGTACTGTTCTGTCTTCCAAGCGGAGGCACTTGGCTTGCTTAGGGCACTTGAGGACGCTTCAAAGCTTCCCGGCAATTACACCATTGAAATTCTCCTGGATAACCTCTCAGTTGTGAAATCCGTTCTAAACTCCAGAACTGGCAACCTCCTGGTCAACAGAGCCTTGTTGTTGATTTCACAACTGAACCGCAATGGGAACAGATGTACCATACATTGGATCAAAGGCCACAGCGGGATTTTTGGTAATAAAGTAGCTGATGTGCTCGCGAAACGCGGGGCGGAATCTGATCTCCCGAGCTGCTATCGCCTCGCACCGCTGTCGAAACTTAAGCGGGGAAGAAGTTTTTCCCGCCCTCTACAATCACTCTAGAGGGGAGTGAGTTGAGAGGCGTCTCTGCGTGTTGTCCTCCGTCGGGGTGCCACTGACTGATGTCCAGTGAAGCTGTAAGCTGGCCGTCTGTCCTTGGTTGTCTGAGGCGAGGCGCACGTGTCTTGAAACTCTTGGGTCTTCGCTCTGTGTGTGCGCCATTGGGAGCGTCCTTGCCGTGCGCACCATGAGAAACCAAGGGGTGCACACAGTAGTACCACCCCCCCGTGTTCACGACGTTCCCCGCGTCAACCTCAGTACCTCAGAGGTCCTTGATTCGACGGCAGATTCAGGGAGTACTGGATAAGGGTTCGAGGGCTAAAGGGGGGGGAGTCCTATTGGAGCGTAGGACGGGTGGCTCTAAGTCCGAACGGGAGGGCTCGGTCAGCAACCTTGCCAATGAACTCTCGGAGACGCCTGTGGGTGAGTGGTCAACCCCATTGTAGCCGGACCATACTGGCGGGCGCGAGGGGCCTACCAAAGGCCGCTCGGTGCATGGAGAATGCATCATTCCTTCTGGCTGTGTGACGTGGTTTTTCAGCGAAAAACCAGGGGATGCAAGGGCTTTTGCTGCCTATATCGTCCCTGGCTTTGCCGAATTTCTATTCTGTCGAAATTTAAATCGACAATCTACAAGCGGGCATGGGCAGCTTGGCAGGTCAGGTTCAGCTCCGCCGAGCGCACAATCTTCACCCGCTTTGGCCTTTCTCCCATGAGTCTCTTGGACAAAAAATATGCGTACATCGTCCCCAGTGTCCACGCCGTGATTGGCCTGCTGACTGGTCACACATGGACAGACAGCTTTGCTCACAGATATGGATTTATTGACGATCCTATCTGCCCTTTCTGTGACTCTGGAGAGGAAGAAACTCTGGAACATATCATGCTCGAGTGTGACAGTCTGAACTCCCTCAGAACTCGTCTATTTTTTTATAGCGGGGAGGGAACTCGGTTACACGCCGAGGGCGCTTCGCGACTTCACCCACAGTTGTTTAACCTGGCGAGCCTGTATCGATTTTCTCCTGGCTTGCGACAGGCTGAGACCGCGGATCCGAGAGGTGGAATCAGAGGAGGTTCCCGACTCTAATTCCACCTAAACTTTACATCAGTGTTTTACCTGCATATGCGTGTATCATTAATTATGTATGCGATGTCAAACTTTTAATTTGCCAGCTGGCTTGTGGACGGGATTTCACCAAGCGCCGTCTCTAATCACCCAAGGGTTAGAGGGCCGCGGTTGAAATTGGACGCCGCACGCTGATTGGTCGATTAATCGTGCGACGTCACACGTGTCAATTATTCCGCCTTCTACATGCTAGTCAGTAAGCATTTTAAGGCTCTTATGAACACAGGGACAACACATGCAAACAGCCCGCTGCATCTGGTAACAGCGCGCCGCCTGCGAGGGAACCAAGGAAGCGCCAAGCACACCTAGAGCTCCAAAGCACCCAAGGCTTTCAAAAATAGGGGATCATCAGAGATCAGAAGTCTGGCTAGTATCTTTCGAGAGCTCCCGTTGAAACTCTTTTCGCGCGACGTCACAACCGGGGTTTTGTGGTCTGGCGGCCGCTCATTTTCATTGGTTGGCAAAAGATGCGATTTAGTACTTCCAGATTTTGTACTCTGAAATTACTTTCTCCTAAAAAAAAAATAAAAAAAATTCTGGCTCCTTTGATAAGGTACTTTTTTTTGTTCTACACCAACATCCCCAGGCGCTGTGTGCTCTTCTCTATATACCTATTTTTTCTATCCTGTCCTCTTCTAAATCTTTTTTCCTTCTTTTAATTCTTTATTTTATTTTTATTCTTACTATTATTATTAAAATATTTTTATTCTTTCTTTTTCTAATCTTACTTAATTTTATTATTAATAATATTATTACTTTAATTTTTTTTCTCTTCTTCTTTCTACTATTCTCACTTATCTCCTTATTTATTTATTCAATTATTGCCATTTTTATTTTTATATTTTATTATTATTAGTAATTCTTTTTTCTTTTTTTTTTAAATCAACCTTTTCACAATTGCTCACCTTTCTTAACTTGAAACCTCTTTCTCTCTTTCCCTCTGACCCAGGGATACTCACCTATGTTCTTACAGCATCAGCACGCTTCACACTCTCCAGGGGCGCCTTGGGGGCGCCGCGTGTCTCGTCGCGGATGGGGCTGGAGATGCGTTTCGCACCGCCACTGCGTGCGTTGCGTTGGGTGGCGGGCTTGGTGGTTCCTTGGGTGTTGTCGCGGGGGATATTGCGATGTTGCTGTATCTCCCCAGGTTACCTGCACCCTTTACCGCGGTCAGTCTGATTCATTTCAGCCAGTAGTAGAGCTAGAAGGCCATCCCATTTGGTCAATTAGCTATAACCATTGTCAGTCAGTATTATGACTATCATTTTGAAATAAGGATCACTTATTGTTCGTCCCTGTCTCTCTCTGTCTGCCGAGTTTCATCACTTTCTGGCCACTATTTCTTGGTGTTCCATTTTCAATGTCACGCAGTGTATAAAAGGGCGTACCTGGATCTGTAAAGAAAAAAAAAACAAATTTTTTCTCAAAATATTTCGAGAGATTGCTCCCTCTTTATCAATTTATTGCACAGTGAATTTAATTTACAAATTATTGTAGATCACATGAAAACAAATTCTTCATTATTCAAAAACAATTATTGATAATAATACATAAAAATAAATTATTAATAATAATAATACAATAAAAATATTATGAAAATTAAAGGCTTTTTAGAATGCAGTATTTTATAAAATGTTTTTGAAACAAAATATAAGAAATCAAAAATAAGAAACAAATGAAGTTGACTGCGATTATTATAAAAAAAAATTAAGTTAAAAAAGCACATAAGGTTCGGGGATCTCTTCATATCTGTTTACACTAGCAGGGTCCTTCATTGATGCTATGGCCTCCTGGAACTTCCTCTGGTGTGAGTTCTGGATGCCCCTGTAAATAGTGGAAGTATTTTCCCAATCTGGCTGATGTCCCGATTGGAGACCATGCTCCACCATGGCAAACCTTTCCTTTGCATACTTCCAAGAAGATATGTGTTCTTGGCGTCTGGTCCCAAGGAAACGGCCTGTCTCTCCAATGTAGGATACATTGCAGCTTTTACATGGGATCCTATACACAACGTCCTTTGTGTTCCCTATCTCTACTTTCTGATTTGTAATTGTATTTCAGACTATAGTCTTTAAAGATGGTGCATTTTTGAAAACAGTGGTCATTCCGGAATTTTTTTAAATATGAGCTATTTTCTCAGCTCCTGCGCCATATGGCATTATACATTTATTTTTCAAATCTTTCTTAGTATGAATGCTATTAATTTTATATGAATGTTTATTGATAAATTCCTTCGTATATCCATTCGATATTAATTCTTCCTGGATGTGTTCAATTCTATATATTTAAGTTTATCAGTGGAGAGAGAGAGCAATGTGTGAAGACACGTTTGGTGAGAGGTTTTACTAGGGAAATTTTATGGCAGATAGAACTAAAGGAGTTGGCATGGAGGTATACTGGTGAGTGGCTAGGTATTATAAAAACACTTGTTTGAAGATGATGTTAGATATGTTAGAAAACCTCGCCACTCTCCAGTATACCTCTATGCCAACTCCTTTAGTCCTATCTGCCGTAAAATATTCCTTGTAAAACCTCTCACCAAACGTGCCTCCACACATTGCTCCACTGATAAACTCAAATATATAGAATGGAACACTATCCAGGAAGAATTAATATCGAATGGATATACGAAGGAATTTATTAATAAACATTCTTATAAAATTAATAGCATTCATAGTAAGAAAGATTTGAAAAATAAATGTATAATGCCATATGGAGCAGGAGCTGAGAAAATAGCTCATATTTTAAAAATTCCGGAATAACCACTGTTTTCAAAAATGCACCATCTTTAAAGACTATAGTCCGAAATACAATTACAAAGCAGAAAGTGGAGATAGGGAACACAAAGGACGTTGTGTATAGGATCCCATGTAAAAGCTGCAATGTATCCTACATTGGAGAGACAGGCCGTTTCCTTGGGACCAGACTCCAAGAACACAAATCTTCTTGGAAGTATGCAAAGGAAAGGTTTGCCATGGTGGAGCATGGTCTCCAATTGGGACATCAGCCAGATTGGAAAAATACTTCCACTATTTACAGGGACATCCAGAACTCACACCAGAGGAAGTTCCTGGAGGCCATAGCATCAATGAAGGACCCTGCTAGTGTAAACAGATATGAAGAGATCCCCGAACCTTATGTGTCTCTTTTAACTTAATTTTTTTTTATAATAATCGCAGTCAACTTCATTTTTTTCTTATTTTTGTTTCCTTATATTTTGTTCCAAAAACATTTTATAGAATACTGCATTCTAAAAAGCCTTTAATTTTCATAATATTTTTATTGAATTATTATTATTATCAATTTTTTAATGTATTATTATCAATAATTGTTTTTGACCAATAAAGAATTTGTTTTCATGTGATCTACAATAATTTGTAAATTAAATTTACTGTGCAATAAATTGATAAAGAGGGAGCAATCTCTCGAAATATTTTGAGAAAAAAATTGTTTTTTTTTTCTTTACAGATCCAGGTACGCCCTTTTTATATAATCTCAATTAATGGATCGCCTTTTAACACAAATACATATATATATATATATACAGTTTAATAAGGATAGAAAGAGAAATCTAGGTCTCTCTCTATACACTGTCTGCTCTCCTTAATGGTTCCTTTCCCTCTTTGTTGTTGATTCTTTTAAAATCGTGAATTGTGAATTCATTTTTTTCCCTGTGAAAATTTTAGAATTAAATTAATAAAATATACAGAATATTAAAATATTAATTAAAATTTATTTATTTATTACCAGTTTAAAATAGACACACTATATCCGATCTGGGTAATTGCGCGTAAAACAATAATTCATATTGTAGTAGAGTAGGTAACAGAATTGTGGAAAAGTAAAAATAATAATTAGGAAAATAGAATTAAATAAACCTATACATTAAACAATAGTAACAACATAAGCAGATAGAAGAAACCTCAAGGTAGTTATTTACAATATGTTGAGCAATGATGGAAGTTGATTTAATGAAGTTATCTGTAATAATTAGTATCGTGGAGAGAGAAAGATAATCAAGTTTTATAAATTTTGTGAAAAAAATATAATATAAAAATATAAAAGTAATTAAGGCAATGCATGAAGAAACTCGTGCATATTGTGTATACAGAGTGGAGACAGAGGTAGGTTTAAAGAAGCTGCAGGGCTTCTCGTAGTGAATCTGAAGTTTTGCCTTAAGATGACGGTCTGGTCAGTCGGCAATGATCATGTGTCTGAACTCTTTGGTGGGAGAAGGGTCATTGTAGAAGTAAACAATGCACAGGAAGGTCATTCTACCTCTTACAACAGCCACCAAGCTTTGCAGCTTCAAGGAAAGTGTGGGAGCATTTTTTCAAAGGTAGCTGAGGATATGGTGTTCATGACATTTCATTTACGCGGATGTATTTTCATATACACTCATAGATATACCTTAAGGAAGTTGTACCTTTTAGCATATATATCGGGATGCAGACAATAACTGTGAAAGATATTTGATCTACAATGATCTTCATTGAAGACACACGAGATTTATTAAATGTGAACAGAATTTCCTTAAAAATAAAAAACAGATGCCCGGTTACATAAAATACTTTCTATTATCTTTGTTTATCCACCCCATTAGTGTAATAAATAAACATAAATTAACTATCTATTATAAATATATGATGTATACAATTGGCATCAAGTAGTGAGCAACTTACGTATAACGGTTATTTCCCGCATATATTAATATTTACACATTATAATATCGTATAATACATGATAAATGATTTTATTCTTTGTACTTCTGTATACGTCTTTTATTCATTTTATATCAACGTAAAACGTTTTAGAAATAAAATTCCGAATTGCAATGGCAAAACAAGCTTTTTGGAACAACAAATATATATTATGGGGCACTAGCAATATTATGATGAAACAAAGACTGATAAAGACACTAATCTGGCCAATACTAACATATGGCTGTGAGTTGTGGACATTACAAAATCTTCAATCAAACGAATAGAAGCCTTCGAGACCTACCTTGTAAACCCATCATCCGTCTGATGCACGAGAACTATTGTTTATAACATACTAGCCGAATGACCCGTGCAAACGACCGGGTTTTACCCGATTAAATGTTTTATTCAAATACTATTCGTTAAATTATAAGTTGGCGCCGTGGATATAACTTTTGTGAAACGTCCCGCTCCAACTTTGTGTGTTGTTAAGATATAATAATAAAAATGTAAATTTTCACAACGATATCTGAAAATTGTTTTATTTTGATTTTTATATGAATATATTTTAAATTTGATATATACATAAAATGATAGCAAGTGATTTCTTGCCCCTACGCCATTATTACGTCACTCAAGGTTACCCTTGTGAAACATCCCGCTCCACCAATCCCCCGTCGCCCCACATGGTCCATCCTTCCTCAAATTTACTTCTCGAAGTTACCGCATTGAGGCGCTGGTTGCGAGTGAAATAGGGAAAAATTATTAATAATTTGTTGATAACTTTAAGGATATTCGAGATTGTTTGGATATATTTCTAGATTAAACTCAATATACTGTGAAAATTCCAGCCAGATTAGTTACGTATTGTGGACGTGTATAGCCGACAAACATAAATACATACACTGACTTTTTATATATATAGGGTTTTGTTTATGCGACCAAATTATTTAAATTGATTTATTAAATATTTCAGAAAAATAAATCGATATTCATATTATATATGACCATTTTTGTTTTATCTGTAGGTATGATAATTCAATTTAATTGGTTTAGTCACACCAAACTGTTTTATATAAACACTTCTCGTTTTTTACAGGGATAATTGGTTTACAAGGATTTTGAATTTCTTGAAGATATACGAGCAGCCTTGTCAAAATATCGAATTTTGTTTTTAATAAATATATTTGATCGATAATAAGCCTTTAATTTAATGTATCGGATTGTATTGCGTTCGATATCCAACATATATATATGAAATAATAATAGAAAAATAAAAAATAAATATGTCAGGTGTTGATATTAAAAATAAAAAAGGTATATCCTGATCAGGAGCACATGTACCTTTCAGATGGCAGAGAGAGAGAGAGAGCGCCATCTAGTGGAAAATAAATCAACTAAACATTAATTTAGCCTGCTCCTTGTTATTTGGCCAACCCAATAACTTGATAAATCAAGAAAAGCCATGGCCTTTCTATATATATGTATATGATATATATATTATATTAAAAAAAAAAAGATATATTTTCTGCTTAATTTTTGATTATCGTGAGTATTATATATGGAGTTATTTGCTGGTTCTCCCTAGTACCATATGGTATTGTCCATGCAGTCGTGGCCATACTCCCGAAAGTAAAATCATAAAAACAGTTTTGATAAGAGTTTGCTTTAATTGAGCTCTCTCTCTCTCTATAGGATAAACATAATTTGGTAAAAGTACAGCCTGGCTTAAGGGGTAAGAATAAATAAAACAAAATATTATTTACATAATTGCAAACATGTTTGAGCCGACCCAACGGGGAAGAACAACAACGAGTTTTTATATGCAAAGTGTGACCTCTGGCGGTCGATTTAACATAATATTTTTTTATCTATGAAATATATTTTTAAATAAAAGAATATCTTAATATAACATTATAAATAATATCTTAATATAACATTTTAAATAATACCTTTATATAACATTTCAAATAATACCTTTATATAACATTTCAAATAATACCTTCATATACCATTTCAAATAATACCTTTATATAACATATATATAATTGACGCAGCATCTATTAGTAGATTCACATTATTCTAAATCTCAGAATTTGAACGGGATATTTTGATTATTCATTATTATAATCACAAAAATATGTTAATATAATACTGTTGTGTGTGTGTGTATTTAATTGAATATGTATTACTCATTCTTATAATAAAACTATATTTGACAGCTACCTCTGTATTGAAGTACAGCAGCACAGCCTAGCGGCTGTTTTTAGGAGTTTCCGGAACAGATACCGAGCTAAGCATGATGAAGGTAGGCGTGTAGACCACGTTCCTTGAACATATAATTCTATTGATGTTATCTCTCTATTTTTTAAGAGATCTTATGTATAACTATTTTTGATACATATATGGATTTTTAAAATTACAAATTATTTCCTCACAATGAGTTCCTTTTTATTTTAAATTGCTAACTTTCAAGCGATAATCGCTCTTCAACGGGCTTAAAATATATCGATTATATCTAACAAGAGATATTTATAAATACTAACGCGCGCAGCGCGGATATTTACAACTGAAATTTTTAAAATTGAAATGTAATTTAACAATGTTAAGGAAAATTTCTATTTTCATTTTTAGAGCAACCATAACCTATAAAATTGATCTATTGATTTCTTCTAAGATATCGGCATTGTGATGGTAAATCTATCTGTTTATGCTATTATATTCATTAGAAATGAGAGATTCTAAAAGTAACCTTTGATATTTGTTCTTGAATTTTTGTAGTGGCATTTCGTTTGTTATGTTGAATTGATGACCGGTCTGTGCTATATGTTGATATATCATAGAACGTTGGTCTTTTGTTCTGATGTTTCTATTGTGCTCATTAAGTCTAATTTGTATTGATCTTCCTGTCTCACCTATGTAGGTAGCATTGCAGTCTTGGCATTGGATTGAATATATTGCATTGGTTTGAAGTTAAGGTTCCAGTTGTTTTTTCAGATTTAGTTATGGGATTTCTGAGAGGGAGACCAATGGATTGATGGTTACTGAAATACGTTTGAATTCCTTGTCTGCGAAGAATATGTGCTATTTTTTTAAATTACATTTTTAATAGGGGAGAATGCATTTGTGTCTATATACTTCAGCTGTTTTATGTTGCGAAGCGTTAAAACTGTGTCTATTGATATATTGTGAAGAATAACCTCTTAGGCTAAGGTTCTTGAGGATATTTTATTTTTCCAGCTTCTTAAAAACAGGCAGGGAACAATGGGTTTGAATCCTTTTAGTAAGCGTTTTGACAACTGTTATTTTATGTTCCATTGGATTGTATGATATGAAGTGTAAATACGAAGGTTTTAA